ACGTGTAGATTAGGCACTTATGGACATAGTTTAGTGGGCATGGTGGTCTTGAGTTGATGGTTGGACTCAATGATCGTAGAGGTCTTTTCCAACCTTAATGATTCTATGATTCTATGAATTCCACCTCCTCCAACTTAGAGCAAAGGAGACTCTTGTCATCATCATGAGAAGATGATTCTGCATCCCAAGTCACTCTTCTATACCACCATCTACATCCTTGTCATCAGTCCCTGAATTCATGTGCACCTGAGGCCATGGCTTTTCTCCCAGGCCTCCCAGAGGATCATCAAACAGCAGCTTATTACTTAGGTTCCATAATATTTATCTCCTTGGCATTAACGTAAACAGAGCACATCACATGGAGGCATAAGAGTCAGCCTTCCCCTTTTGGTACCCAGTTTTGGTACCTCTCTCCTCAGTCATCACTGCTGAAGGTGCACTGTAGTGTCATGAGCCACCCCTCCATTTCTAACACTTCACTTTATTCTCCCAGCCCATTTCAGCAGCAGCTGACATGGATACACGATGTCAACCGAGGTTACCAACACAATTCGTCATCCTACAGTGCCTCCTCTCCCTTCCACTGCAGTAATCCCTCTTATGAGGGTCTCCTTTGGGAGGAGTAAAGGAATACAATAGAGTGAGAAGGAATAGGACAGAGTGAGAAGGAATAGGACAGAGTGAGAAGGAATAGGACAGAGTGAGAAGGAATAGGACAGAGTGAGAAGGAATAGGACAGAGTGAGAAGGAATAGGACAGAGTGAGAAGGAATAGGACAGGATAGAGACGTGTTTGAGTGGAGCTGTTTGATCACAAGTTTCATTCACATCTGGAGAAATAGAAAATTATAGAGGCACCCAGAAACAACTGGCAGAGCTGTATGAAGACTGCTATTTCCGTAAGAGTCTGAGACCCATCTCCTGGAATTGGAGCATGAAGTGCTGCTGTAAATTACCCAGACTCTGAAGAAGCAAGTGAACCATCAGCCCCCTGACAAAGTTATTTACTAACAAGTTATTCTAAGAGGTGTGGTTATTACACCTGAGGTGCCACCAGAAGACTGACGAACTGAACTGTTTGCCTTGTGCATAACTGCTAGTAATAGAGAACCTAAGTCAAAGACCGTAGTCAGTAACAACTGGGATGCAATTAAAAATCCATATGAAGCTCAAGTTAGAAAGAAGTCCAGCTTTAAGTACCCGAGTCAGACCTGTAAGTCCATTAATCAGCAAAGTACCCAAAAGGAGCCCCCACCACATCCACCAAACCTGCAATTACTGGTAAAAAAACCAGCATGTACAACAAACTAATAACTTACCACAGCAGCAGAGACTTGCTCACTTTATCCTGCCCCACTGTGAAAATAAATAATTTTATCTGATAAAGTGCAATTTCTAAAAACTGGAGCAAGTACAATGCAAACAACCCATGCTTCTCATGCTCAGTCTGCCACCTCTATGGAATAGCACAATCCTGGACAGCAGTCCTTTCATTTGCTCCCACAGGTTTTATTCTCTAGAAAAAAAATCCTTTGAGAACTGACACACAGAGGAAGGCAGTTGAGGCTTTACTTAGAGAAATATCGGGACAAAATTCCATGAACAAAGTTGTCTCATAAAGCATATATAAATATGCCTTTAATAGAGTTTTTTCCTGTTCCACTAAAACGCGAGTGGTTGTAGACCAAGTTCTCATGCTCGGGCAGAAGTCACGTACCTTTGCCCAGAGGCTTTAAGCGCTGCCACAAACCACCAGCAGGTGTCAAAACAGCATAAAATATTGCCAGCTGCCTTCCCTGGATAGGGCATGGTCCCATGAGCAGTCCATGTGCTGCATTCACTCCATTCAGTTAAAACACTGCCAGAATGAGCTGACCTCTTTCTGCAGGAGAAATCAACTCCATTTCTATCGAGGGCATTCCACTGGAGGAAACGCATGTACCTTTGACAGCCACCTCAGAAATAGTTCAAATGCATACATTTGCAGCAGACTACAGAGAGTTCATCTCAGAGACAACCATTCTGAGTTGGGGTTATATGCTGGGTTATACTACACGGGAAGGGGACAGACTTTGTCCCAGTCACTGGACATCATGACAGATGTTCAGCCACAAGAACACTTCCATGGCCAGCACTGAGGTTACATGAGCCCATCCAGGTGCTCTGGGTCTTGGGCAGCAAACGCTAGAGCACTGCAAGAACCATCTTCTCCTTCTTCTTTCTCTTCCTCTTCTTCTCCTCAAAACGGTCAGTGGCATCAGCAAAAAATGTCACCTCATCCTTGGCCTCAATTTCCCTCTTCAGGTACTGGAGCCCTGCCATGTTGAATCCCAGCACATCCTGTAGAAACAGACCAGCACCACACTGTTGGGTACACCTCAAGGGGGTACATCACATTGTCAGGGGGCAGAGGGTCCTATTCTGGCCACCCTCTACTAAAAAATGATGAAAGGAAGACAATCCACAGATTTAAATAAAGCAACATTATTTAAATGTAAACTTCATCTGGGTAGGAGAACAATCAGTCCTGCACTCTGTTCCCCACAGTTCTCTCTTAAGAGCAGCTATAATCCACTGTATTTTCTGAAGGACAAGTTGCTGGGAGGCACCTGAAGTTGCCTCTGGAAAGATGCACAGCCTGCATTATTTGAGAGACTAGCAGCCCACAGAAAAGCCCAAGAGAAACGGAGTTTATTTACCTCCTACATATTTAGAAACTAGCAAGCCAAAGCCCAAATACATACATCAAAGAAAACCAAGAGTAAATGAGGGAGGTAGCATGAGCACGGGATCACCACTGGGTAGTCTCCCATCAGGAAGAGCACAAGGAAAAGGCAGCCTATTTGCACCGGAGGAAGGTGAAATGGGCTCAGACCCCCAACCAACTTTCCCACTGGACACCACAGACAACACATGCTCCCATACATTTGCCCATCCTGCTACTCCAGATCCTGGAAAAGGGGAGGCTGCAACACTCACCCGGGCCTCACTGACTCTGGAGATGGTGGTTTTCTTCAGATTTTCTATCACCGTCACCAGCATGTGGTTGCTTGTGATCTGTCCAAAATGTATCCTGGGAACAAAGCAGGCAGTGATGTACTGCAGCGTTGTTCTTAGAAACATCAGACAGTCCCTCTCCTGAGCCTCTGTATGTTCTGGACATAGGATTTTTCTTAAATTAGGCCTCCCCAGACTAGCCTTATATACCAGACATGGGCAGATTTATCTGGAAAAGCTAGTCTCTGAAGCTTCTCTTTAACATGCAGTGGTTCAAGGGGAAGGTCTCTCTGGGGTACCCTCTAAGGGCATGGGCTCTACAATGACTGTGCCAGTGAACGGTGCCATTTCAGCCTTGATGCAGGATCTTTCATACCAATGAGATTTGGGGGACAAGGACCAGCAACCCCCTCTGGGCATGTCAACACTGCATCCAATCAGTCCATTCCCACATAACATCCACTGCGGGCTGCAGTGATCCTTATCTCCTGCAGAGATGACATCTTTATTCCCGAGGATGCTTCCCAAGAGCTTCAGAGCCAGAGACATATGAGAAAGCCCAAATTTTCCCCACGGTCTTATGCTACATGCGTTCACCACAAGCAACATCATCTTTGCAGCTCCAGGAGATGGGGTATATTCCCCAGCTCTGTGCTGTCCCAAAGCACTGCCTCACAGCACAGGCGTAAGGAGTACCTCTCTGTTCACATAACTAGTGCAAAGTGTGTTCATGACATGCACCAGCACGAGGGGTCCAGAGGAACCAGCAGGCCAACTACTGACCAGAACCCTGTTAGGGCTTCCTCGGGTCCTGGTTCTGGACAGCAATAGCAGCTGAACTAGGACTAGCAGATCTGTCTGGGCAGATGAAAGACTCACTTGAGCAGGAAGAGGAGAGCTCGGCACAGGAGTTCAACTTCCGAACCCAGGTGAATATATTCATTGAAGAGTCTGAGCAGGTCAGGGACATAGGAGAACGGCAGCACCAGGAGAGACTCTTCCAGCTCACTGAGGAGAAAGCAAAGGGACAGAAGCATTAGTCTCAGTCACTGCACTGCTACAGATGAGCAGGAAACACTTCCATATAGGAAGGCTCTGGTACAAAAGTTCTGCTAAGCATTCATCTCTGCTGGTCTGTGACTGCCCACAAAGCCCAGTGCAGCTGCACAGACTAGAGCCCAGGCCAGCAGACATCTTCTGGCACAGAGAGCAGGCACACGGTCTTCCCTCCTCGGCATCCCCAAGCAGCTCTTCACATACATGTGCATACACATACACAGGCTTCACCCAACACTCCCCATGGAAGGAACAATTTCCATTCCCCAATTCCGTGCATGTTCCAAAAGAGGCTGCCAGGAACAGTAACTCCAGACTCCCCAGCACTGCCCATACCCAGCACAAGACACTGTCCCAGGACCCTGCCAGTCCTGGGCCCAGAAATCCAATACTCAATCACAAACCTGTTCAGCAATAAGGCTCTTGGGACTCACCTTGACTTGACCTTCTTGAAAACTTCTAGCACATACGCAGAAGGCTGTAACAGAGGAAAGACACCAGCTCTGCATATCAAGAAACATTCCAATGCAAAGATGTGCCTTAAGGTCCATTTCACCCAGTTAAAAACACGCAATCATGTCTCATGAGATGGACAGATCAAGCTGAATATAACAAAGAGGAAACCCCTTCAGATTCAATCAGCTGCCTGTCTGGGAAGTTCTCCCTCCACAAAACATAAACCCAGCCTTCTCAGGATACTCTTAACTGGTGAACAATATTGTGAAAAGTCTAATTTATATTCAACCAGCTAAATTATCTCATATTCAGTTCAATGAATCTTGTACAAACTGGATAAAAAACTTGGTGAAACAGCCAAATACATACAAAACCTTACACAAACTCATCTCCCAAAGACTTAATTCCTGCTACTCCTGTTTATCTGCTGAAAGTGTTTGGCAGATGCAGAGCACAGCTGGGAAGTCTCTCCCAAAAAAGAGGATAACAGACTGTCAATGCATAAAGTATTTTTGTTCATGGTCTGACACACTAAATGCTGATCATGGTCATTTCACCATGTAACAGGACATGTAATAATGTGCCACTGTGTTTTTACTCAGCAGCCTAGCACCGGGGCATTCTTCAGGACCTTGGGAACAGGTTCAAATCCCTTCTCTGTACAGTGGGATTCAATCAAACATCACCCACCTCCAAAGAAATTGCTAGCTGCTAAGCCATAGGATTTCATTCACGCCTGTTGAATCTATTCAACTTGCAATTAAATAGGCCTATATTCACAGAGGAAGGGAGAGAATGGCTCTGGCTAAGTGCTTACCGATGTCACAGTGTGGGGGGGCACAGTGACAGGGGTTCTCAATTGCCAATTCCAGTGGATGCTCAGGTATTTTGTGTTAGATGGCACAGCTCCTCTGGAATATGCTATAGCATGGCAACTGCACCCTCCTGGCAGCAGGAAGATGTGCCCTTAGGCACAGGAAAGGTTTGAACTAGCTTTCGCGTATCTTGGAGAATACCGTAAACCGCTGGCTCGTGATAAGGTACACGGTAAGGTCATGGCTACCATGGTTAAGCATAACCCTGATGGGGTTAAACTTTTGTAACACACATGCAAGATAAAAAAAAAACCCAACCAAAACCAAAAAAACCAAACTGTGTTCACTTTGCATAAGCAAAACTGCTGAGTTTTCATTTCAAGTTGAACCAAGTAGTCCCCCCTCCCCACAGCAACCCAGTATTTCGGCTCAGCCAGCAAATCAAACAGCCTCACTCCAGTTGAGAATGGTCCACAGCCTGTGGCCTGGGCATTCCTCTTACTGTAATATTTCCATAGGCACGGAGGACGGGATTCACAGGAAAGGGAACCTGGAGACACAGAATGGGTTAGAATGAGGCAGATGTGTGTGTACAAATGCATATTCCCAGAGAAAACTTTAACCCACAGTAGGAGAGCTTTTATCAAGTGTCTTCCTGCAATTCCCACACCTCCACCCTCCCCAGAACATCACTGAAGGCCTCATTTGCAGACACTAGACAATCTCATTCTCAGATGTACAGGACTAACTACAACACGTATGAACTTTCTTCCACTTCTTCCACTTATATCACAGCCCCTTATTTAGCAAGGAGTGTTGAGATGAAGGCAAAGAATAGGCTTTGGGATGAATTTGCAGCAGCATGCTCTCCCAGGGACAAAAGTTGCATCCTACTGTGACTTTAAACGTATAGATTGTTAGAAAAAACACAACACTAACCACGCCCCAGGGCACAGTGCCATCTTGTTCTCCAAAAGATTTCAGCAAATCTTTGCTATGTCCAGCTGTCGTGATTTTATCTGCATGCTGAGTCTTTCCACCCAGATGGCAGAGCTGGAAGGATACACCCACACACCTTGGGACTGGTACATTCCTGTCTTTTACCTCTTTTCCCGCAGCTTTGCATATGGCCTTGTGCTCCGTTAGTTTTGCCATCTCTTCTCTATACAGCTCAATAGCTTCCATGATCCGCTCAGCCTGTGCGGCACAAGAACGGCACATCAGTGACACCAGACAAGCCAAAGCAATGAGCTTTGTGATGTGCCGTTTTGCCAGTCCAACTGGGCAAATGGAGGGGGAAGCAGGAGGGCTGACATGGAGCATCACAGGACATCTCACTCAGAAAGGTGACCTCTACTCCAGACCGCACGACTACTCTGAGCACATCAATCATGTCCTGAAGATATCAAACACCATCCACATTCCTCCCACTGCCCCGGGTCCTCTCTGCTGCAGCTTCAACTGTTGCCTTGACGTTGAACTACAGCCCAAGCAAGCAGTACCCCTTCAAGGCACAAGCCATGGTCAGGCCATTTTGAGTTTTCAGACTGAGGATTTCCTCTGTGTTTACAAGAGCACCATCAGGCTGTTGAAATCTGCAGCCATGAAATTATCCACCCCCACACCCTCCTGGTACACCTCCCACGTCAGGCACTGAAATAAGTTTCCACCTGCCACGGATGCCCACAGGACAGGGCAGCCCTTTGGGAAGAGGCCTGATGTCCAGAGAACATCCAGCTGCCTTGTGCTCCTTTGGGCTGCAAACCCCAAAGGGCAAGAGCAGCCCTGTCTGTCCCATATATGACAGGCAAAGAAATCTGCAGCCTGAATATCTACAGGAACCTCACACCTCGTTCCCTGGAGAGATCTCCGGAGGAGATAATTCCTGGTGGGTGACTCTCCAGAGTGAAACCCCTCCCAGCTGGCCATGGAGCAGGACAGACTGCTCTTGCAGGCAGAGGCAATTCTGCCCTTATGCGACAGCACAGGTTACTTCTCCTCAAACTGATGCTCCAACCCTGTGACAGTCCCCCTCCTTGGGAGATTGATAAAGCACAAAGCAATGCTGGCGGACCCACACAATCTTACCGCTTTGATGGTTTCAATAGTCTTCTTTCCTGCCAGCCCTGTCTCTCCTTGCATCTCTCCAGCCACCTACAAAATACAGAGTTTGCAGCTTCCTCCTTCAGCAGCTGAGTAGCTGATACACTTAGGCGCCTCCTGCATCCTATCACACTCCATACTAAGAAAAACCATCAGCCCCATTCCCTAAACTGGTCCTTTATCTGGGGAAATACAGGATTTCCCAAGTGCACAGCGCTTCCTCAGGAACAGAGGCACCGTACTAACACTGAGCTCTGGGAGGCAGGAAAACACAGCTCTTGTTCTACCAACAGAGACTGAGTAATCCGATCAGTGTCAAAACTATTGGCAACACAACGCAAGCATCTTAGCAAGAGGGATCAGGCTTCCCCACCCGTCCTGTACTACATGGACTTGACTTGGAAGTAGCTGTCAGAAGGCAGCCCAGCCTTGGTACAGGGCTGGTGTGGACGTGACCTGGGGAGATAGGAAGGGCAACAGCACAGCTCAGCATCCACAGCTACCGTGTAGCAGTTTGGCCAGCTCCATACACTCTCCTGAAGTTGCCTGTAGGGGCAACCACAGCTTCAGCAGCACCTTCCCCCCTGCACCTCCTCAAAGCAAAAAAATTACCAGTCCTCTCTGACACCTCTTCTATGCCTCTTACAGAAATAGTTATTTCAGACTCTGTACAGTCAGACTGACACACACTCAGATGGTGCAACTCACCACAGGCTGCTCTTCCTTCGCCACACTCTCTTCGTATTCAGCTTCTCGTTGCTACAGGGGATGAGAACACAATGTATTAACACAGGTGAGCAGGCAGCAAGCAAGGGTACAAGTCCCTTCCAGAGTGGTTGAGCCAGGGAGCCTGCAGCTTTATGCAGCCCATTGCAAAACCAGGACAAATCAGCAGAGATCAACAATGCCAGTGCAAAATGCCCACTTGTCCCTGGTCCCAACCCCACGGAGAATTCTGGAATCCCCCAGACAGAAAGAAATCAAGGTCTCTGCTCTGGATGCAGGAACAGCGCTTAGACGGCCCACCACACTGAGACAGAGACAACAGCAATTCAGCACCAGACCTTCCACCTGGCACACAGCACAGAAGACAAGCCTAGAAAAGGCCCAGGGTTGTTCTAACCTGCAAGAGGAAAGAGCCTCCTGTCCGGCATCTCTCACTTGAATAGGGCCCCATCAGTCTGTAATTCACTACTGGTGTATTCATGCCTACCTTCTTATTCAAATTTCACCCAAAACACACTTTCCTGGCACCTGGAAAAGGAGCTGCCTCTGTCTCTCCTTTTACCACCATCATTCCTAGCACACCAACTACTGGGCATCAAGATGCTGCCTATCGGTCACCTCAGCTCTCTGCAAACAAGCTGGGACAAAAAAAAAAAAAAAACAACCCCAACACATTTATTGCAGGTTTCTCATGTACTACTGCTTCTGCACATATTTCTACCTCCTTTCCCCACTGTAGTTTGAGAACTGCTTTAAGAAGGGGAGACAGAGCCAGACTCCTTTGACGGATATAGTGAAAAGACAAATTGTTCCAAGGGAATTTCCAATTGGATACATGTAACAAACGCATCCGCCAACCCCAAGGGTGGTTCAGCACTGGAACGGATGCTCAGCCAGCCTGGAAAATCTCCTTCCTTGGAGATGTTCATGTATCAATACAAGTTTCTTGAGCAGTCTGACAGAGCTTTAAGGTTATCCCGCAGTGAGCAAGGGTTTGGACTAGAGACCCCCCAAGTTTCCTTCCTATTGAAGTCCTTCTGTGAGTCTATGATTCCTCACAATACATGCTCAAATGGAATAGAAGGGATTTCTTCCAGCATCCCTGAGCTCTGGGGCCTGCTACTAAGATGGAATGGGCCTCTCACTGTTGGAAAAGGGGAAACCAAGACAAACTGCATTTAACAGGAGCAGTGCTCTCCATCACTCCCACAACAGCCACCAGTACACTTGAGTTGAAAGAAGCACAAGAGAATAAGAGAAGGTCAAAGACTGTAGCCAACAGACCTGTGGAAAACCACAGCTATAGAGGAAAGCCTGGGAAGCAAGAGAGAACCAAAGCAGAGAGCAAGTTAGCCAGGCATCTGTAATGCAGTACACACAGGCAAGCATCTGCAACCAGTGCTGTCTCCAGACAGCTCAGGGCAACAATCCCATCATGCAGAAGATGGCAGTCAACCCTGGGCACCTCAACACCAGGCTGCGGTTAGTAATGAGCAAGGCTGCCAAGTGTGGAGCCAGACTCTTCCACAGTGAAAAATGAGGAATCTGCCTGCTGGGGAGAAAACAGGGCTGGAAGTTGTCTTTGGCAGGAAGGATGCAACTCTCACCATCTCCCTTTCCTCTTCCAAAACAAGTGGCTCCCTCGTCCTTTCCCAGAGGCGCAGGGACTTGTCATGGGATGCTGACACCACATAGTCTCCATTGGGACTAAGTGCCAAACACCACACCTCCTTGTGATGCCCCTGCATGGTAGACAGAAGAGGTAAGACACGACCATCCCCCACCTCCCAGCCCCTGAGGGAAGTGCTGCTCATGCAGGGATAATGCTTCTTTCAACAGTCTCCAAAACTTCCTACCTCCAGCGTCTGGATGTGCTCAAATTTATCTGCATCCCACTGCTTAATCTTGCTGTCCTTGCCAGCTGTGAAGAAGAGGTGGGATTTCGCCACAAACTGCAGATACATCACACTGGAAAGGAAAAAGGCTCAAATTCACTGACTTGGGGAACACTGCAGACCTCCTCCCACTCTACACTGGACAAAAGGGTTATTGCTGGATCACAACCCCTTGGAGATAAGATAGCCCACAGCTCAGAGATGCTGTAGGATTTGACTGACCTGTCATCATGGGCGAAGAGAGAGCGGTGACAGTCCCCGAAATCCAAGCCCCAAATCTTCACATTCCTGTCAGCAGAGCCGGTCGCAATTAGAGTCCCATCCTACACAGCAACAGAGAGGAGGGTGTGGGTAGCTGGCTGGAAGCCCCATGAGGAATTGCTGCTAAGCAGTGCTAAGTAGGCAGACACCTGGCTCCTGAAACATGCCCTCCTCATCCCTCCACCTCCTCTTACCCAAGGTGGCCCATGCTTGTAGTACTGGCACAGCTCACTGACAGCACCCTGGCTCTTTTCTGAACCTCTGCAGGCATTTAAAACCTTAGCTATATCTTGACATTTTTGGCTTGCAATGAGCCTCATTCCAAGGACACCCCAGAGCAAGATGCAGCTCAAAAACGAACAGGCATGAAGAGGCTGCTCCACCTCAGCACCTGCTCTCTGCTCCCACTAATGAAGAATTTGGGCTCCTCTCACAGTCAGTAACTTTAGCAGAGAGCAGGCTGTACCTCTTAAGATGAGTGTAGGGGACCACCATAGCATTTTGATTTCCGCTTGCTCACAAAATGCCCTGGTCAGTTCTGTCATGACCGCTACTCCATGACCCCTCCCAGTGAGTGCAGGACAGCGGGATAAGGAGAGGCTTGCTGTGTCCCATCAAGAAACTGCTAAGTCGGGAGCAAGGAGGTGACAAGAAAGCATTATCCTAGGGGCCTTGCTGCCAGCAGAGGTTCTCGCAGTCACCCGTATCACCACATTCCCACCTAACACACAGTCCTAATGATACTTACATAGGAGATGTCCATACACAGCACTGGCAGCTTGTGTCCATACAGAGAGAGGAAAAACTGAAGAAGAAGAAAGGTGTCTCAGTTAGACATGCTGGGTAGAGATGTGCGAAAACCTCAAACTCCAGGTTAGTTCTACTCTGCCTCAGGAGCTCTGTCTTTTTAGCACTGCCCCACTTTCGCTCTTGCCCTGAACACTGTTAGCAGCAGGGCCGTGATGGCAGAACTGAGATGAGGGTGGAAGTACGCAAGCAAGCTGAGCTAACTCTGGTGCTAATCACCACTGCCTATGTTCATCTCTGTTTCTCTTTGCCTATCTGTCAGTGCTGATCTATCTTGTCTCATTCCCCAACATTCACGTGCTAATACACAACTCACAAAACCACTACGCACTGCTCACAAGGAAGATTCTCCTCCCCCAGGCTTTGCCTCTGCTACGCCTATTTAATGCCATGTGTGATACATCCATCGCCACCCTTACAGTGCCTCACAGCTTTAGAGTACCACCAGGCCCGCAGGGTTTAGAGTGAACCTTGCCCACCTGCAGGTTCACAACACTTTCCAGATGAAAAATGGATCTTCTCCCCAGTGTGTGGGCCAGCCATGGGTTCTGTCAGGTTTGCTAGCAAACAGGCACCTGAAGTGGGATCCATGGTCTCTCTTTGATTCTTACTAGTGTCCCGCAATAAATAGACACTTTTCCTATGTATTCCTGATCTTTCAGGCTGCAATTACATCACTCCCTGCACAGCCTCACAGCCCATTTGGTCACGCACCTTGAGCGTGTCAATGTAGAAAATCTTCACAGTGCAATCCAGTAAGGAGACAGCCAGCAGCTTCTGGCTGGGGCTGTACCGCACACAGAGAACATCTTCATCCAGCTGCAAAACGCGCACATGTTTCATGGAGAGCCTGGCAACAGGAAAAAAAAAGTTGTTATCCCAAACAAACAAGTTGGGAAGAGGTATGAATGCTACTCCCACATTGCACCCTGGGAAAGAAAGTTAATTCTAACATGCAGCATCTCATTCCTCATTATGACTTGAACAAGACAGGACTGGAAATAAGCACGGCACTGCAGGCTGATAAACTTCACTGCTAAATTTACTGCTTAATGATCTGAAGGCCCATCCTGTGATTAGAAGCTAAACTTACCCAGAACCAAGGGATCAGAACATGGCAAGTGCCATTCCCCAGCTAAGCTCAGACCTTCACAAAATAGCACCGAGCTCACATTCTTCTCCACATGTTCCACGTACATGTCACAGGCACTTCTTACAGTGCACAGCAAAGGCCAAAGCATCCGTCAATGACAATGGATACTGCAGCTGAATGTAGTCTAGAAAGGTTTATTTTCTTACCTTTTCTGAACACTGCTCTCATCCTTCACAAGCTCAAACTCCCAGAACTTGACACATTTATCAGCACCTCCTGTCACAAAGCCACGCTGCAGGGGAAAACAAAAAAAATTATTGTGAAACCAGTTTTGCAGTAACCCGGAGAAATTCTACAGCAAGGAATTGTCAACACACAAAGAGTTTTTTGAAATGTCCCACATTTCTACAATGTTAATGATTAAGTGGACACCACCAGGAAAACTTGCTCTGGTTGGAACATGCATATGAGCAACAACCATTTCAAAAGCTCTGGCAGGGAGGTCTAAGACAAAGACTCCAAATGTAAATCAAGACACGGGCTGAAGCTTTGGGACTGAAAGCAGTCATCGCAGCTGTAGGTAATGATATGCTTGTGTTTTGTGGCCAAGCTGACACTCTCATTGTTATTGGATCACACACACCTTACCACCACCCCACAAGCACAGCCTTCTAAAGGAAGAACAGTTCAACATCATCCCTTTTACATTAAGGACAAAGGTAAAAATCTGTCCCATATGTTTTAATCTGTAGGATGAATGAATCTCAGGCAGGTTATTACTTGCTATGGTTTTGATTCCACTAAAAACCACTCCAGCTTCTAGTGCAACATGACCATGTAAGAAAAGTAAGAAAGGCATACACAACAAACAGAAGAAAGTGGAAATTGATAGAAACCAATATGAACCTGAACTGTGGTAATGGAGAAAAACTGATACAAAGAGTAAAAGACAAACAGATTTCTACAGCCAGGGTGGTTAGGCCAAATACAGTGAGTGTGTGCATGTAAAATGGGAACATTAGGGGAAGAAAAAAAAAAAAAAAAAATCTTTTCAGTAGAACTGACCCATTTCTAGAGGGAAGTATGAGAACTATTAAACAGCAATGCTCAGTAAACATGGGTTCAGTAAACATTTTTCATCTGTTGTGCTCAGGGAAAAATGAGGTACCGTAATCACATTACAAGACAAGTGATGAAAAACTGCTCCAAAAACTCACAAGGCTGTCAAAAAGCAGCTACCTATGTCAGACATTTATAAATCAATGGTTCAGATCCCCCGAATCCAAGACTTTTAGAGAGCAGAACGAGGTACCCTCTAAACTATCAATGACCATTCTTAGCAACTTCGGAAATACTGGGGGAGATCCAGGAAGAAACTAATGGAACACCATAATTCAGACAGAGTAAACAGGCAGGCCTGGTAACTGTGAGCATGGTCAACAGAAGTAACAGGTAATTGCAGTTTCCATCAAACAAAGAAAGTAAACTGAATACGGAGAAAAAAGCTTATGGAAAATTAATTTGATGAGGATTATCCTTTTCCTTAAGATTAAAGCTGTAGTTGAAAATAGTAACAGTGTTGCTCATGCAAGGCATACCTCTTGGTCTTGTGTTACATTTTCATTACAAAACTAGGATAATATAGTTCAGTAGAGCACATACTCCATGGATTAAAGACCAGCTAAGAGGTTTTAAAGCTTAATTTTAAATGGGAAATACCTAATAACTTGACACCATGCTGCTTACAGATTTATGGATTACTAGAAAAATAACCAATTAAATTTACCTATATAATGTCAGAGCTATTCAATCTATCAGAAAAAGAGTGCCCAAGCAGAACCAAAACATTAATCTATACGTTAGGAAGCAAGGATCTAAGCCCCACATATATGCCTTCTGCGAAGCAGTGCCCCAAAATGGGCTATGAGAGACAGAGCGGATTATTGCGTGAATACACATTATCACTGCAGAGCTATCGCCAGAAGAGCTAATCAAGTCCTTGGATGGATTCAAATCACTGGTGCATTTGGCACTGGTATAATTCCTATCATAGCGTGCACCCAGATCCTGGGGCCACCAGCAAAAAAAGACTACAGTAACTTAAAAAGTATCACAAGAACAACTAAGAGCCTGGAAAACACATCCTGCAGGGACAGGAGAAGTTCAGCCTAATGACCATCAGGTAGATGGGGAGGGTGATTTGGTCACTCAAGAAGAGTGCAACACAAAGAAAAAACATCACTATGTTAACGAGATCTTTAATCCAGCAGACAAGCAGCAAATTTAACAAGGAGGATAATCAGCCACTGCAGCAGGTTATGAGGGGCTGAAGCTCTCCACAGCTGGAACACATCCACAAGGTACGTATTGCTGCACACGTGGACTCCACCAGGGAAGTCTGAGTGTTCTCAATCATGCAGAAGCAAGATGAGGCGATGAGGATGGCCCCACTCAGCCCAAAGACTCATTGCCATGTGCCACACAACTGGAGAGATTATTCATCAAATTGTGCATGTACCCACATCTGAAGTTCTTAGACACTACCAGCTGCATCCTCCACCTCCCAGGATGAGGGGTTCCCATGCTCCCACCAGTAGTGCAAACACAGCACTATAGGAAGAAGCTATATGAAAAGATGTGCAACAGATGATACTTAGAAGGGTGGCTGAGTTACCTGATCTGGCGAAAGAGCAATGGACCACACCGCCCCGTCATGAGCATTAAGTGTCTCCATCAGACTCCCAGAAGCCAGGTCATACAGCTGCAGCTTCCCTGTCTGCAGAGAGAGACACACAGAGGACAAATCAGCCTCTCCACCTTCATGACACACGATAGCTCCTAACAGGAGAGCATCCCTGCTGCCCATCTCCTGAACAGCCAGCTTCATTAGATGGCTGCTACATACAGACAGCCAAACTCCTATTCTCCATCACGGACTTCCCAAAGCTCTCCCCAGCTGTCCAGCTTAAGCCATAGGAGCTACATAAAGAGTCTGGGAACAGAGCAGAACCTGACTGTCAGAGAGGTTTTTACACCTAAAACAGAGTGCTCCAGATCAGGAGACGCAATGCATTTTCTGTAAGGCTGCCTTAATGACATTTTCAGAACATTTCCAGACCTGAGCAGTCTGGTGTGCAGACGCGACAATATTTACCTTGGTGCCAACAATGACCTGCCGATCTCCTGGGACAAAGAGCGAGCAGAGTGCGTACTCACAGTCCATTGTCCGGATGCACTGCAAGGTCGATCTGTGGACAAAGGCAGAGCCCAAAACCTCTTATCACACACAAAATCTGGCCCGCTAAGTGTCACATGCTCCAGAGTGACCTCTGCCCACAGCTGTCTTTTCAGCTGGGGCCAGAAGATACTCCACCACCATCCTATGCTATCCAGCATTACTGCTAAGAACGTTTTCCACAAAAACATGCAGTTACATAGTTCGCCATCATGACTTATTGCTGTTATGAGCAAGGACAGAGCTCCTGTTCTCCAACAGCAATTCCTGTCATTCAGGAGAGGAGTGAGGAGTATAAGATAGCACACTCAAAGGAAACAGAGCTTGAAATCGGCACCACTCAGGAAACACTGGGACAACACTCTAGATCAAAACAGCAGCCTAATTCAGTCTAATACTAGATCCTTCAGATAAGATGCCAAGAAACCCACATGTTCCCTAAACAACAGGCAGTAGCTAGTTTAGGGTAACAGTTAGTACCTCTTATTAAATAGGAAAAAACCCCCAACAAAATACAGTCTATACTGGACTGCTATGGAGCTTTGTGTTTAGAGATTTGCCTTTCCACACTGCCACTAAACTTAGCCTCAGTGCTCCTTTACAGCATCAAACTCCATGAGTTAATTACACAGTTTTAGCTCTACAGCATCTCAGTCTCCCTAACAAGGAAAGAAGTCTAACAGTTTTCTATCTACTTCCTTTACTTCATTCACTGTTTTGTATTTCTCCGTCATCCCCATTTCCTTATCACTGCCTCTCTGAACACAGCATCCCTGAGTTCTGGGAGAACATAGGGCAGAGGGGACTGACACAATTGGACTGTGTACCTGTTCCAAATCTTTACAGACTCTGCAGCTGCTGAGAGAACGGCAATGTTGTCAGAGCTAAAAGCCAACGTCCTGACATCACTGCGGTGGCCTCCAATGGTTATCTTGGATGCACAGACAGCCTGTGGGACTTGTGCTGACAGGTTCAGGTTGTACAACTCAATGATGTTGTTCTGGAGCAGCAGTACAATCTTCAGCTCTCCTTTTGGAGAGAGAATCAAGTCAAATGACCTGTTTGATCAGACAAAATCAGAGCTGTACACAGGGGCAAGACGACAAAATGTAGGAGGGATCAAATATCAGGAACAACTGCGAAAGAGGAATATAGACAGAGGTATGCCACAAGCAAGTGCAAACTAAGCCACAGAGGTGTGCACAAAAGGGACCACTTGTGGAAGAGGTGTGAATGGACTGGAGACCATGGTAGGCCTCTCCCCAGCTCCAAGCTGAACAGATGTCGGGGGAAAATTCTTCCATCTCTCCCTATATTGAGCTGTGCAGAGCTCTCCCCAAGTAGCTGCACAACCACAGCTCAGCCTTTACAACAGGCTTTCCACTCACTTGATTTTAGAAGAAGCTCTGATGCTAGTGACCCGCTGAATCTCCTCCTGCAGGCTGAGCTCCACATTCCTTTCAGGCTCCTCTTCAGAGTTCTGTCTAGAAATGTCAGGTAATGGAAGAGAGTCAAAGAACCCAGCACAGCCAAAACAAACTAACACAGGGACAGAGAATAACATAAGAAAACCACTTAGCCTGCTGAAAACAACTGCCCTCTTACCCAGCAGTGCTAACTACATTTAAGAACAGGGTGAGACAGTGAAGTTCATGCTGGTATGCAGACTACTAAAGAGACAAGCTGTCCTAAAAAAGGCAACCTCCTCTGGAGCCAAAGCACTTGAACAAGAAAGATGGATACAAAACAGGCAACAGAAAGCTGTGTTTAAGTGGGAAATCAGCTCCTATTCATCTCCTACCACTCACCAAAAGTCCTCAGCCATTGCCAAAACGCATCTCTAGATTTATGTGCCCTGTGCATCAGTTTCTACCCCAGAGCCAGACCTCTCCCTAAGGGCTGTTGTGAGGCACCTGTTAAGTGCCAGGATACTTAACACAAAGTAAACATTAATAAAGCTCTCACCTGTATCTCTGCCTGCTGTAAAACAGGAGATGAGGTATCAGAGTCACTCTGACTTCTCAGATGAAACTCTCATTCCTGTATGTCCTATCAAGGACTTTATCTGATGCACCAAGCAGTGTAAATACGAATGTCAGGTATAAGTGAGCAGCTCCGGAAAACTCATTTTATGTCCACTCCTTTGCACACATTAGCTTTTTTTGCAGGAGGAAGACTCAGAAAGAAGTCTCTTAGTCTCTGGGAGCAGTGTTGCTCAGACAAGCACCAAGGATGCACAGGAACAGTAACCCCAAAATACAACAGCTAGCAGAGACTAAATGACCAGTAGCTTGGAGTTCAACCACTGTATCATGCTGCTGAAGGGCTTTTCTAACAGTTCTATGGACACAGACAGCATCCAAATACATCCAAAAGACTGCTTACTTGGCTTTTTTCTTTGCTTTCTTAATTTTCTTCTCCAATTTCTTTTGGACTTCCTCTTCAGAAAGGACAGAGAACACTTCCAGAACAGCATCTGTTCCCTAGAGACATAGCAAACAAAGTCAAAGGCACGAAAAGCCCTGGCTGGCCCTTAGAGAAATTACCCAAGGTCTTTAACAGCCTCCTCTACAGCTCAACAGCAGAGCCCCCCATTACTCACATGGCAGGCCAAAATCCTGCCCGTTCGGTCTGTGGCAAGAGTAACTATTCGGTCTCTCCCTTCCCGCATGATGGATCCAACTTTGCTGCACTTTACGAGGCGCTATAGAAAAAAACTTTGGTCTGAAAGGTCAAGAGATCTTCTCAAGCAAACTCAGAAACCTACTGGCAAGGGAAGTCAAGAGGAGAAGAGGGGGAAATGAACCTACAGGTCCTGGTAGAACAGCTAGCAAGGATAATCTAGGGACAGAACAAGCATTTCTGTGAGCTCCAGGCTTATCTCATTATGCTTTGTTGCATTTTAGCTGAAAATAATAATTGACAGTCTCAGTGGAAGAATAACTGAACTTTATTGGCAAACCATAGCCATTTAAGAGGCAGCTGAATTTTTATGCTACAAAGTCAGCAGAGCTCAGTTCCTCTGTCAGAAGAGGCAGAGAACGTGAGAACAGAGACTCTTAAATGGGTGGTTGAAGGAATCCTCCGGAGAGGAAGTTGGAAAAGTATTTAACAAGGTCAAGCATCTACCATAACCACAAGCAGTCTGAAATCTGAAGAGGACCCCAGAAAGTTCCACCGGAAAGACAAATTCAGTAAAGTCTCCGCCAGCAGCACAAGTGGGAACAGCTTTCCACAATCGAATCTCACACCGTATTTCGTTATGGTTACTCTGACCTCTCAGCTTCTGCTACTGACCTGCAAAGCTGGGCATCAGCACAGAACCCAGCAGCTGCCAACCAGCCAGTAACTATTTTATTCCCATGTTGTTCAATGAAAGACCTCTGTTAGCACTGTCGAACACTCACTAGTTCCCCCCAAACAGAAGGCAAAGAAAAAGCTTTCAGTGGACAATAGCATGTGTATGCGTTTTGCCACACATACTTCTGCTGATGTTCTGCAGGTAGATGGGGCAGCAACTGCTGTCGAGGAAGATGTTATGAAGCAAGACAAGAATTACCACATTTTCCCTAACGGGCTAGATATGACACTCGGGGTATAAACTCAATACAGAGAAGCAATGTGTGAGTGACTCTCAAACTCCTGCTGGCTCTGCAAGCAGCACCATGCAAATGGGGTTAGATACACCATCCCACAGACAGCATGGAAAACTGAGCTTACTTCCTCAGGACGTTCATCCAACTCCAGGGTCTCATCCTCTTCAGTGTTTTCTTCTGCTCCAGGTGAAGATCCTTTGCTTTTCTTGGATTCTGGCTCATCAGGATCTTTTACCTGTTCATGGACAAAAAAACCCATAAGGAATACCTTAAACCACAAGAGCTACGGTGTTCTGGTTCCTGTCTCACACTTCACTTCCCTGGAGGAACAAGTGGTTAGTGTACACTGCAACAAAGGAGTGGCCTAAAGCATGCCTGTAGGCACCAAACACTCCATGTCCTCCCCTGCTTATCATCTACCCACAAGACTGTCTTCTCTAGCCGTAAGCCAGAAGGCAGGAAGATCTGACACACTCCGGAAACCTTGTTCTGGAAGTGCTCGCAGCTTCACTTGAAAGCTCAAAACACAGAAAACAGCAAAGTCTATCCCAAGAGCAGCTTCTGCACCCCTTAGACAGCAAAGACATTGCTTTGGCTATTTCCCAGAACAACAATCAGATGTAATGTGTTCCAGACCCACCTTAGTCCAAAGACAAGCAGCTGGACAAGACTGTGAGGGGTTACAGAGGGAGTATCTTACCTCCTGGATGTAAGTGATATCCCACACTCTCAGCTCACTGTCAGCACTCCCAGTGATCAGACGCTTCTCTTCGGATATCAAAGCCATCCCCCAAACCTGTCCAGAGGCACAATGTGAGGAATTGGCTTATAGCTCCTTTAACTGTCATAACAACAGCAGAGCATCTTTAATTCATTTATTTAAACGGCAACCAAAAAGAGACTGGATCTAGCCGGAACCTCCTCTGGGGACATCTGTATTGGAATTGTCACCCACTGCATGTTGATGACAGCTCCTGTAAAGTTTGGAAGTTTCTCATTTGCTCATCTCTAAAGCCTAATGACAAGCAAAATATACCACAGTGCCAGTTTACAACTCCCAAAAGCAGGGAAAGCACCGAGTGAGCCATGACATGTAATCCAAAGTCCCTCCACCCCAACAGCTCCCCACACATCCTCTTTACCTCAGTACGGTGTCCAACCAGAGTTTTGAAGCAGTGCTGGGTGTCCAGATCCCACCATTTCACCAATGTGTCCTTGCCGCTGGAACAAAGAAGAAAAACTCAAGACATGAGGAAAGACTGCCAGAGCTCATGTGCTTAGAAAGTGGTAGAAATACAAAAAATCTAAAACATGCCACAACATATCACAGAGCAGCTGCTCAGACATTGAATCTTGCAAGCTGTGCAAAGACAAAGTATAGCAATACAAAGGTGCTGCAAAAAGGTATCTAGGAAGTCATTGAAAAGTGCATCCTCTCTCGATTCAGCTGCAAGCCCCGGTGTCACACAGCCTCCTTTTTCGCTTATTTAGGGTGAGAACAATAAGCGCAAAGCGCTGATCAATTCTAAAGCTGCCTTTAAAACCCCTCTCCACATTCTCAACCTGTGTCATGCCTGTGCATTGACCAGGCTACAAGAAAAGCAGATGCCTTCGTTTTGAGCAGTGATTTGGAGCTGCTCCTCCTAACGGAGAATTACAGCTGTTTCAGTCCTTCTAAGCCCCGGTAGAATTAGACTTCCTTGAAAACACTTTTCTGGCTATATTATGCTATCCCAATGCTACAAGAGCACCTGAGAAAAGTAATTTGAACATTTATACAGATTCTTTCAGTACACCCTACAACAATTAATACTTTTTTTATTTTCAGTAACTTTGTTAGAGCCTGTTTTCCTCAATAAGTTTCTACTAAATCAAAATATAAAACTTTCCGTTCCATTACTAAGCTCCCTCAGGACAAAAAAATTCTGACTACAAGTGATAGTTATTGTTAATCCATCTCTTTTGTTACATAGGATCCAAAAGTACTTGTAAATTGGACATATGAAAATATCACAAAAAAATTCTGTACACAAAGGACCGCAGTTAGCTGCTTGGGCAAAAAACCAATCTAAAGTAAGAAGCAAAACTTTGCATCTCCAGAAAAATAGGATAACATCTCTACTCTGTTAATAAAGAAAACAAAAAAAGATAGAGAGGAATACCTTATCTCAATTTAGCTACTGAGAGAATTAAGAAGCATTTCTGAAGTTGACCTGCAAAGACTTGAAACTGCATTAAGAAACAAGCATCATCTACCAAACCAACAAAATACTTTTTTTTCCCATTTGAAACAACAAAAAAAGCACAAGAAACTTGTTATAATTTTACACTGAACTGATTGTATGCACTTTTTTATTAAGCTGTTAGATGACATTACTAAATAAAAAATTATTAACAGATATTTGAGCAAGAGCATCTTCTGTCAGCCGTTTATTATTGAAGGGACACAGTCAACTAGCAGCTTGTGTTGAATAACTAAAAAACAACTCAAAAAAATCTATCATCTTTTAATTAATGCCTATAACTACAGCCTACTAGGAAGCAATTTTTCCGTCACATTGCTGTGTGAATTACAGATACAGAAGGTAAGTCTGCTTAATTCTTCAAGATAAACAACAAAAATGGTTACATACATAACGAACATATCGCTATTCCTTGTTACAATAATTCTAAGTTGCTATTTTTACCAGCAAGTTAAACCCTTTTTCAAACACTATTTTTCAGGATAGTCATTTCAGTTCCGCGTAACACATTTGGATTCAGGCACCGGACTTTCGAAATATGCGGACATGACAAAATCATATTCCAAGATGCTGGTGGGTCCGAGATATCACGAGTCGAGAAGGAAAACACAAACAGCTGCAGCACTTGCACAAAATTGCAAGTAAAAACATGGCTACTTTCCCGATCGACCACTACACCTAGCCTGGCTCACCTGGTGACCAACAGGTTCTTCTCCTTCAAGAAAAGGACCTGAGTGACAGCATCCTTGTGTCCTCTCAGCCGGTACAGACCGCTCTCATTGATGACATCCCACACGATGACATCTGTATCCTGGAACAGACAGAGTGTCTCCAAGGGACTGGCATTTGTCTCTGCAAAACGTCTACTTCTGCTATGAAACCGAAAAGGTTTCCTAAGAGCAAGCCTTCTCACTCCGAATTCGAATGTTAGGTATGATTAATGCAAAAGACATTCCTTCCCCCAGGGCACATTCAGACCAACAGATGCACCTCTGCCCTCCTTTTTGCTATTCCTGACCTCACAAGCTTCTTCACCTTTAACAGCTCTTCTAGTAGCCCACTCCTGCCCTGCAGTCCCCGCTGCTCTCCCAGCCCTGGGCTCCCCAGCTCCATCGCTGTCTTGCAACCCTAACTCCTCTCATTGCATGCAAAATACCAAACGTTTTAGCGTAGGTCAGCCTTCTCCACAGAGCATCTCTATGAACGGGCTGTCCTCCAGATGTGCAATCCTCACCTTTGAGCCAGACACCAACCGGCCACCCAGATGGTCATACTGCAGGGCTGTAACTGCAGCCTTGTGTCCATTGAAAGTGATATTCGCTTCTCCACTTAGGAGGTTGAAGACTCGGATTGATCCATCTTCATACCCAACAGCCAAGTGCAACCCATCTGGAGAGGGGCAGAGGCAACTGACCTCCTGCTTGAGACCCTTAAGGATAAGGACCTGCAATTTTTAGGAAAGAAAAAACATACAATGTTGATAAATGGCATGTCAGAGCCAGATACTTACAGAGCAGAAAGAATACACTCTTCTACTGAACTTCCAGCTGAGCACTGCTGCCACTTTACAAGTTCAATTTTCAGCTTCCTGCGCCGAATACAGTTCAATAGTCCCATTTTACAAGGCAGACAGCAGCTAGAAGGGAAATAATTTCTCATAATCAAACAGGAAACTGGTGCAGAATGAGGCCTGGAACTCAGAAGCCCAAATTTCTGCCCCTGCATTTTAAGTACCAGAGAACAAGGAACATTGTTTAAAGTAAAGTCTGAAAGCTTCTTCCTGACCCATCCTCTCTTGCTTGGCCTGTCTCAGGACAGAGCTGCTTTTCCACAGACTGCACAAGAACTTGAGAATGGTAAAAACATCTCCAAAACAATATGCCGGCAGTCACCACTCTAGAGGCTGCTAAAGCAAATCCTGAATTCAGTTTGTAATGGACAGTAGTACTTACAATGATGTCAGAATCTGACAGGAGGAAACATGCAGCAAAGTCCTTAAAGTTACAGCTCACAAACCCCCTACGGGATACAACTTTCACAGGGGAAGCCCAGTTCCACAGCCGAAGCACAAACTCCACGACATCCCTGTTTCATCCCAGAACTTTCACACAGCGCTGTTGCTGCTCGTCGCCAGCTAAACAGGGAACAGCTTTCCAGTCCCCATGGCAGCAATTATTCTTCCCCAACTGAGGTACTAAAGGCAAATCTCAAAGGATCAACACTGAGATTCAGCCAGGGCGCACCCAGAGCTGCCGACTCGCACCACGAGCAAACCTCAAGGCGTGCTCAGACTACGGAAAAGGGGGGAAGCTGCAG